CGTCTACGAACTTAACAATATTATTCAGTCTAACATTCAAAGCGAGGCAGTCACATACAAGTCCGTCGACACTGTTGTGGAAGCAGATGAAGCAGTTAATTATCCAACAGAATTTTTGAATTCACTCAATCTGCCAGGGATGCCACCGCACGTACTGCATTTGAAAATCGGCGTGCCAATTATCATGTTGCGAAATATCAACCAGCCAAAGCTTTGCAACGGCACGCGGCTTGCAGTAAAAAAATTAATGAGCAGCGTCGTAGAAGCAACAATCTTGACAGGACCTTTCAAAGGTGAAGATGTCCTCATTCCTCGCATTCCTATGATTCCAACGGATATGCCATTTCAATTTAAGAGATTGCAATTCCCAATTCGATTGGCGTTTGCAATCACCATCAACAAAACTCAGGGCCAATCTTTAGAATTGTGCGGTTTAGATCTAGACACGGATTGCTTCTCACATGGACAATTATATGTTGCGTGTTCTAGAGTCGGCAATATTGAAATAAATACATAACAACAAATTCGTTACAATGAAAACAAGGAGGAGTTGATGTTATTATTTAGTTGCGGGTGATAATTGAAAATGGAGAGGCTTTCTTTAAGAGTTCATAATCTGTGGTTCCAGAATTTTAAAAGTATTTTAGATGTGTGGGGTGGTTGTTATTCTCACTGTGAAATCTGATGCAAGACTCGGGTAGATTAGTTAGCTTGTATCCACTTCTTGCTAGAATTCCCATGTGCTCGTGTGCACGTATTTGTAGGTGACGTGTAGTTTCACCAATAAAGGTAGCTTTACAACAACAAAAACGTGACAGTTTTTTGTTTTAAAACATCTGTCCCTAAACTATAAGGTTTCTCCCCAGTGTGTTTTCTTTCATTTATTTTTAATTCACTGTTTTTTCCAAACTGTTTTTCACACACTGCACAACTGCAAGATTTCTCCCCACTATGTATTATTTCATGTTCTTTTAAGTTATGCTTCTCTCTAAACTGTTTTTCACACACTGCACAACTGCAAGATTTCTCCCCACTATGTATTATTTCATGTTCTTTTAAGTTATGCTTCTCTCTAAACTGTTTTTCACACACTGCACAACTGCAAGATTT